TTCATCAAAGCAAAGATGTTTTAGCAATTATCAGGTAAACCTACATGGGTGAAAACCGGCCAAGTGGCCTAGGCTAAACCAGGCATGCCAGAGCAGCTGGTACATATGTTTGCATGACTCACATATAAAGTGTGGATGAGGGGATCTTATGTTTACATGAAAAGGAGCTCATGGAAATGGGGGAATAAAAATACCCTGATCCTTTGTAGTTTTCTTACAGTCCGGCTCATTTCCCAGGATGCATTGGGAGCAAGGCTAGCCTAAGACACATTGCTGCAGGTTGGAAGACAACAGCGCCTTCTTCCTTCCCTCAGTTCAGTGCCAAGTGCCCTAACCTAAGCCAGGAGTGTAATTGTTTTAACAGATGGTGTAGAAAATCCTTCAAGTAACTTTCTTCAGTTCTCACAATAAACAACTAACCATTTCCGGCTCTTTCATAACACACAAAAATTTGCTGCCTGAGGTGGCCGTTTCATTCTGACTAACGATAGGGCTCAGCTTGGCTAGGAGTAGAATTACCAGGTTGGTGGGTGTTGGCTGAAGTTTCCCTGGGTCTCAGCTTCCCTGGGTCTCTGCGGAACACAAATCTCAGGGCATGTACCTCTTGAGGAGAAAGCCTGATATTTTTATCTGTGTGTGTAAAAGAAAGAGAAGTAGCTTTAAAGGATGGGCACCCATTTCCTAAAAGTAAAGGTAAAGGTTCCCCTTGACATTTTTAGTCCAGTCATGTCCGACTCTAGGAGGCGGTGCTCATCCTGTTTTTCAAGCCGCAGAGCCAGCGCTTGTCCGAAGACACTTTCTGTTGTCATGTGGCCAGCGTGATTAGGGAACGCTTTTTTACCTTCCAACTGAGATGGTACCTATTTATCTACTTGCATTTACATGCTTTCGAATTGCTAGGTTGGCGGGAGCTGGGACAAGCGACGGACACTCATTCCGTTGCGTGGATTCGATCTTATGACTGCTGGTCTTCTGACCCTGCAGCACAGGCTTCTGCGGTTTAGCCCGCAGTGCCACCACATCCCTGGTACCCACCCATTTCGTACTCTCTAGCTAATGCCAGGGTTCCACAGCTATGCTTGAAGCTGTTTTTGTGCATCAAAAAGCTAAGAGCAGGAGAAAGCACTTCCCTCCCATGGGGAACTTGTACTTATTTAGATAGTCTGCCTCCATGGGTTACTGGATCTTGTTGGATTCCAAGATATCACACGGGGGATTCCGGCTGACTTGGTTGGCGCTCCTGTCAATGCTCTGGTGGATGGCTGGTATACCGTTGCCACCAGGGCGGTCGACACAATTGCACCTAAACGCCCGCTCTGCCATCAAGCCCAGTCAGCCCCCTGGGTTCATCAGCATTGCACCTAAACGCCCGCTCTGCCATCAAGTTCATCAGCAGCTCTATGACTCTGTGAAGGAGGTGGTTCGTGACTATTTTTCACGACTACAGGGGTGCAAGGTGCACTTCACAGTGGACCTGTGGAGCAGAGGTCAGCATGGCTACCTCTCGCTCACAGTCAACTAGTGGCAGCCAGAGGGCTTGAGGAGTGGCAGGACATTGGCAGCAGGGCTGCAAGGGGAGGCCCTTGCCCTGCCCCCCGGCTACAGATCCGTTCTGATGCAGGCGCGGCACATGGAACGTCAGGCAACGGGGAGGAACATTGCCGATGAGTTCCTCTCCACTCTGCAAGAGTGAGCACCGGAGGAGGAGGTGACCCATGGCTACATAGTCAGATGCTGGGCAGAACATGGTCAAATGTTGGGCAGAACATGTTGGCAGCATTGAATGTGGTAGGCTTTGAGGGCATCATATGCATGGCTGTCTTGGCTTGGTTTCTCAAACGATCAGCAGCTACTCAAACTATCAGGTAGCAAAGGTGTTAAAGATGGGAAGATTTATTAGGTTGCTGTGATTTGTGCCTTAAGTAATGTCCTCTTCCTTGCAGGCTTGCTTTGAAAGCCCACTACAGATAATAAATATCAAACTGATAGTAATTATTCTTCACTGATTTAATGATCTCTGAAAAAGTACCTTGTCTGATCTGTTGATCTCTATGCTTTCTTACCAGGATTCATAGAATCATAGTATATACTGAGTTGGAAGGGGCCTATAAGGCCACTGAGTCCAACTCTCTGCTCATTGCAGGAATCCAGATCAAAGTAGATCTGACAAATGGTAATCCAATTTTCTCTTGAATGTCTCCAGTATTGGAGACTTCACTACCTCCCAAAGTAATTGGTTCCATTGTCATATTGCTCTAACAGTAGAAAGTTTTTCCCAATATTCAGTTGAAATCTGGTTTCCTGTAACTTGAGTCCATTATTACATGTCCTGCACTCTGGGATGATGAAGAACAGATCCTGCCCTTCTTCTGTATGATAATCTTTCAATGATTTGAAAAGTGCTATCATATCTTCTCTCCAGTCTTCTCTTCTCAAGGGTAAAAAACATTGGCCTTTTGCAGCATCTGCATCACAATGTTGGCTCATACTCAGCTTGTGATCTATTATAATTCCAAGATCTTTCTTGTTCATAGTATTACTGAATCAAATATCCGCCATCTGGTAACTGTGCATTTGTTCCCCCCCCCAGTGTAAAACTTTGCACTTATCCCTGTTAAATATCCTTCTGTTGTTTTCAACCCAGGCCTATCAATATCTTTTTGAATTTTGTTCCTGTCTTCCAAGGTACTAGCTATTCCACCTAATTTTGTATCATCTGCAAATCTGATACATATTCTCTGAACTCCCTCATGTAAGCCATTAATAAAAATGTTGAAGAGCACCAGGCCCAGGACTGAATGTTGTGGTACCCCACTTGTTACCTCCTTCCTATTTGAGAAGGAGCCATTTTTAAAACTGTTTGTGAGCTGACTTGACAACTCAAAAGTGAGATTTTAAAAACTGAACCCATAATTCCTTAAATCAATCAATCAATCAATCAATCAATCAATCAATCAATCAATCCCCAGCTCTGGGAGATTTGTGAGTAGAATAAAGGTCTCTCATGCATGGTTTAAAAATGTGGCAAAGTTAATTATACTCTGATTTATTCTTCTGATCCACGTTGATAGTGTGCGTCACTGTGAGCAACCTGAATAATTCTTGATGATGCAGAACTACTATCTATTGGTTATCTCCTGATATTTACTATTTGTTGTGGCTTAAAGTAGCATTTTAGCTTCACAACAGTTCTTGTAAAGTAGAATAATAAAAGGTTATTATTTGCTTCCAAGGTTACTCAGTGAGCTTCATGGCTCATTTGGAAATGAACCTGGGGTTTCCACATCTGAGGCCTCAAAGCAGTGTTAAGTCAGCAATCCTTCTCACAATGATTCAGCGTGAAAGCCCATGCCACTTACTTCATGTTTAGTGTGCCTAGAAACCTTCACTAGACCAAGAAGAGGTATAGTGTTCAGAGTGGGCTTTGGATGGGAAAGTCTGTACATTTCTATTTTCTACCACATTCGAAGTTCTTTTAAAATTTGGGGTTCTTCCACTTCTGAACATGTGATTTGTGAATGTTGGTAAACTCTTCAAGAGTCAAATAAATTTTTCTTGCTTGCCTCATTCAACAGGTATAGGTTTTTCCGGGTTGGGAACAGTCATGTTGGACTTGCCTACCTTATAGGTCTTGTGAAGACAAGAACCTTCTCAAGAACCTTAAAAAGTTTGGTAACCATAATTTAATACGAAAATGGTTGAACATCCAGAGATTCAGACCCAGATGTTTAATATTAAGCACTCTTAAGTCCAAGTTTGGTTTGATACCTCTCTTATTTTTTTATACTTTCAAGTTATCCAAATACCAGGATACTGTATAAGCCAGTACTGGTGGATTTTTTAAAACCAAACTGAAATTAAATCCTCACCCATCCCCACTCAAAGCCTAAAAACAAAACAAAACAAACATCATGAAAGTTGGTGTGTTATATGGTAGATGGTGATTTTATGACATACATTGAGATGAAATTCATGGCCTGCATTGTTATGAAACTTTCTACACTTATAAGGCTGTCTTCAGAGCTTGGTAAATGTATTCAGTTCCCACAATCCATACTGACTCTCTCATTTGGGGTGTTTTTTCATACATACTTTCAGGTTCTTCATATCTAAATACTGTACACATAACAATTTTTCCAGGCCCTACAATATTTTTGGGAATTGTAGAATTGGACTCCCAGGCCCTAGGGAGTTTTATTGGGCCTTGTGTTTGACACCCCTGCCCTAGGGAGTTTTATCACCACCACCAGTAGGTCTTGCACTGTGGCCATGAGGTAACACAAAGACTCATGGGCTGCAACGATGGTACTCCATTCCCTCCTTCATTCAAAATGGCATGATGGGCATGTATAAGTCTGTACTGTACATTTTACACATACAATAGTAAATGAAACAGTAGGATTTAACAGGCAGCAAGCAGAAATAATGCATTTTCTCTATAAACGTCTGGATCATAAAAATGTACGATGTGGGATTTTGGCAATGAAAGTCTGGGAGGAATGGCACCGCAACCTCAGAAAGGGTGCTCTTTTTTATTGGTTTATTTGGGTGACTTGTTTCCTTGGCAGACAGGCTTCTTCTTGATGTTCTGCTTCCCGCCTATAATTGCACACACCAGTTTCTTCTTTCTCTTTTTAAACACAGTTTTCATCTTTGATTCTTTTGGATCACATACTCCTTTCTTGTGCACTGGCTGGTCCTTATCTGTTTTGTACTCTTTACTTTTACCAATATTTTGGTATTTACCAATATTTTTCCTGTTTTTCGCTATTGCGTCAAATTATTAAATGCACAGGCCAATCTCGGAAAGAACAGCATAAGAAAGTGTGTGATGGCAATGAGCCCTCCTTTTGTTTATATCTGCATATATGCTTTCTACATGTCTATGTACATCTAAATTTCTCTGTTTTGCCCTTTCATGCTTTGTTTACATAACAGCAAAGCATGTCTTGTCTTTAAAAGGAAAAAAATATGGTTTATGAGCAGCACATCTGTTTTACCTTTCTGGCTTAGACAGCAGAAACACTTGACCATCTGGGCTATTGAAGGAAAGCATACCACGACAAACCTATAAAAATCGAATAAACATGTCAGGCAATGTAAAGATTCTTGCCATTCCTTATACTCTTTTAAAACTCCCCCTCAAAAGGAAAGTTTCTGAACTGTTCTGGCCGAGCCCTACACCTGAGGGTCAAACTAGACATGAAGAGAAATCTGTATTTCCTGCAATGAACTCATTTTCCCTCCCACAATGGAATTTCCTCAGAGATGAGTGCCTCATAAATAGACTTGAAGCTAATTTTGTTTGTTTGTTTATGTGTTTATTTACTTATTAACATTTTTTATCCTGCCCATCTAATAGCCTGGGTGGCTTACAATATCATAACATAAACATATGATATAGTTTGATTATTACATAGTATATATTATTAGTAGTAATAATCTAATAAAATATCACATCCAAAAAACCCAATTCTCTAAATATAAAATAACTGACAGAAAAAAATGTATATAAAAATTATGCTACAAAGGTACAATAGATGGCGGCAAAGCAGGGACAGTCATTCCAGCGTTCACAGAGTATCGGTGATCATATATCTTTAAACATAATCTCATGTTTACCTTTTGGTGACCAATCATAACACAAACCATACTAAAAGCAAGATACGGAGATGCAGAAATTCATGCACCATCACAGATTGATATAGGATATCTTGATAATTTTGGCATGAAAAAGAAAATAGTGTAAGGAAAAGAAAGGAAGGGGAGTCGGAGCTCGGGTGACAGGGAGAAATGAAAACCCATGGGTGCGATGCTTCATCCTCCCTTAGTGCATGTGCGGTACTCCTTTGTACTAATACTTATTACAGCGATAGCATTAAATATACCGTTATCAGTCTTTGGTTCCTATAAAACATTAACAGAAATAGTACTTTAAGCAAACAACTTCAATCCTTCTGTTCCCTCGTACTCTTTTAAAATGATCTAAATTAGAAACACTTTTCGTTGAATTAAACTAATAACCCCCTGCAGGTACACTCACCTGGTTGTTTAAAGATATTCAATGAGAAAATTTGGAAACAATTCATAAATCAGTTTAACACTCCTAAGCTTATTCTGCAGCAAGTTTGAGAAATTGAAGGGAAGTACATAGGGCTCACACGACAATGTGCTCAGCTTTAAAAGTGTTTGCCTCAAAGAAATTCCCCTCTGAGCCAAAGAAAACTCTGATCGCAAGGAGTTCACATGCTAGCAAGATAAGCGTGAAGCCAATCATGCAGGTGGCCCATTCGCTGAAGGAAAACGAAACATCCTTTTCTGGAAAAGGCTTTTCTAATCATCTCAGCACTGGAGCTGAAGTACAAAGAGCTCATGGGGACCCTAATGCTTACATTTCTTGAATAGCTTCTTACAAGTTTTAAAGATTTTATTTGTCCCACCCTTTTTTGATAGCATCTTTTTCATTTTATTTTTCTTGCTAGGATTTTAGTCCTGGCACACTGTGGCACACTGTGATGTAGCAAAAGGAGCCGCTTTAAAAAGAGAGGGAAAGAGTTCAAATTGTATTATTTACTAGCTTATTTCATCTGACGGTGTCTTATCATTTTTCTGCTTTTTAAATGGCCGTTTGGATTTTTCCCTCCAGCTTTGATTTCCAAAATCTGAATCCTGAGATATAGAACTTAGAATGCAGTTACACTGGTAGTAAGAACTGCTGTTGACTTGGGTTTGGCATAATTAAAAATAATGTAAAATAAGGTGACTATGGAAGAATGGATTTTTTTTATTTTTGGGGGGGAATGGGAAGTGTGTATTTTGGCTCGAAAATGAGGTAAAATATTCTTCTGTCAGAGGGTTGTTTATTTTAAATCACATGTGAAATGGATTTGTTTCAATTGTTTTGACAAATGTAAACCACTTTGTCAGTTTAAATTGCATCTTTGGGTTACCAGCAAGCAGCGAGAACAGGGCTGTAGAGGAGGAGGAGGACCAGCGGCTGTAGAGGCAGGATGAGGAGAAACAGTGGGAGAGGTAGCAGCAGGAACAAGAGCCGCAGCCAGGGGAAGGAAGGGAGGAAGGGATGGATGGATGCAAGGAACCTGAGAGGAAGGGGAGGATATGGGGCCCACTCAGGGGGCCACGGTGCAGAGCAGGCAGCTGTCAGCACAGCAAAAGCAACCAGAGGAGGTCAAGAGATGTTGTGGCTTCTGCTCCCCCTCTTTCCCTTCTGGTGCTGAAGAAGCTGGGAGCTCAAGCAAAACTCCTCACAAGGAAAATTTCTCCAAGAAGTGGAGCTAAAGGGAGGGGCTCCCGCATTAGGCAGAGCGTTTGGGATTCCTGCATCCATTGGAAGATAAATCACCCTTGTAATTCCCTCATGGTAATTCTAAATCTAAAAGGGACATGGTGGCACTGCGGGTTAAACCGCTGAAGCCTATGAGCTGCAAGGTCAGAAGACCTGCAATCATAAGATCGAATCCATGCGACAGAGTGAGCCTCCGTCACTTTTCCCAGCTCCCACCAATGTAGTGGCTCGGACATGGTGGCACTGCGGGTTAAACCGCTGAAGCCTCTGCTGCAAGGTCAGAAGACGTGCAATCATAAGATCGAATCCATGCGACAGAGTGAGCCTCCGTCACTTTTCCCAGCTCCCACCAATGTAGTGGCTCGAAAGCATGCAAAATGCAAAAATGCAAGTTGATAAATAGGTACCACCTTGGTGGGAAGTTAAATGGCATTCAGTGTCTAGTCACGTTGGCCACATGACCACGGTGGATTGTCCCAGCTCCCGCCAACGTAGCTGCTCGAAAGCATGCAAAATGCAAAAATGCGAGTAGATAAATAGGTACCACCTTGCTGGGAAGGTAAATGGCGTTCCGTGTTCTAGTCATGTTGGCCTCATGACCACGGAGGATTGTCTGCGGACAAACGCTAGCTCTATTGGTTGGAAATGGAGATGAGCACCGCCGCCTAGAGTCGGACACGACTGGACAAATTGTCAAGGGGAAGCTTTACCTTTACTAATTCTAAATCTAGCTCTCCTTCTCTGTTTATGTGTGTGTGCACACAAGTGTGTGTGTCCCTGATCCTTAGTCACTGAGCTGTGCTTGTATGTTTCTGTCCCAAGGAGGAAACATCTCTGGCCACTTTCAGCTTGTCTCTCTCTGTGTCCTTTGCTTGAGCTGTCTGTGTGCATGCAAGGCAGTTTAACAACAGATTACAAGTTCTCCCAAGAGGACACACTCACTGCCCCAAAAATCACAAATACCACATGACTTTAAAGCATATTCCAAACTCCCAATGCTTCTCCTGATTTCTTTCCATAGTACAATTCAGCCCCTAGAGAGCTAAATCTCTTGATTAGACATAGGGATACAAATACAAATCACAGCATCACAAGTGCCACAGAGGCCCATTTCCTCCCTGCAAAACTGGCCGATCCACTCACTGTTCACGAAGCAGTGCTTGACTCTGTTGTTGTCATCATGGCACAAAATACAGAAGGAGCCTGGCTGGCTCTTCCCTGTCTCCCCACATAGCTGACCACTCATTGGCTGAGTGGGGACACTCCCGGTCCCACCTCTGTGCCAAATTGGTCAGCTGCACATCATTGGCTGAGTGGGGACACTCCCGGTCCCGCCTCTGCACCAAATTGGTCGGCTGCACAGGGAGGTGGGGAAGAGCCAGCCATGCTCCTTCCATAATTGGTGCAATGATGACAAAGGAGCCAAATGCTGCACAGTGAACGGTGAGTGGACTAGCCACTTATGGGGAAGGGAATGGCCTCTGTAGCACCTGTGGTGCCATGATTCATATTTGTATCCCAGGGATACAAATACAAATAGCCCATGTCCACTCTTGATTCAATGGATCAACTGATGTAATTTTCATTGATTTGGTGGACCTTTATAAGGGACAGCCACCTAAAGGCATCTTAGCTAATCATGGGAAAGCCATAGGCAATCAGATAAGAAAGGGAGACATTTAAAACTTCCAGATAGGGTTTACACAGGGTTTGGCTAACAAATCAGCTAGATAGTGGCAGGCCAAGAAAGCAGCCCAATGAAGCTAGAATAATAAAGAAGCTTATCAAGCTTGGCTATTAAAGAAGCTAGATAGGGCTTGGAGAGCAGCCAGATAATGCTTTGCTAGGGAAGTGCATAGTTAGGTTGAGCTTGGAGAGTTTCGGTCAGGCAGGGCTAACCCCTGTGTTTTTGTAAGGCTGTAAGAAAAGGTCCTAGACATGCTTTTACAAATCTGTTAGTGAAGGCAAATAACTATTCTAGGAAGAACTAGATGTTTATTGAGTAGTTCACTGACTGCAGTCCTCCATGGACTTCACATTGATACACAGAATCTTCCCCTGTGTTTTTGTAAGGCTGCAAGAAAAGGTTCTAGACGTGCTTTTACAAATATGTTAGTGAAGGCAAATAACTATTCTAGGAAGAACTAGATGTTTATTGAGTAGTTCACTGACTGCAGTCCTCCATGGACTTCACATACATACACTGAATCTTACAAAATACATACTGTGATTTAAATAAGGTAACTACCAAGCTTCATCCCTTGTGTTCTGTTTCTATTCTAGATACAGTTTTGTTGATATTTATAACCAGGTCTGCTTATAAGTTCTTTAAAGCAGCCCTGTAAAAATTGAATAGCATCATCTCTGGCTTTTATTTTATACTGTCAACATCGAGGAAAAACAGCGGGCGGCCATATTGGAACCGCTGATCAGCTGTGTGAAAATGGGGGCTTTGCATTGATTGCTTCCCCGGAACGCCTCCATTTTCGCACAGCTGATCAGCGGGGCTTTGCGATGATCGTGGGGAAGCGATCATCGTAAAGACCCCATTTTTGCACAGCTGATTGGCGGGGCTTTGCGATGATTGCTTTTGCGATTGCAAAAACAGTGTCGCAAAGCGATTTCTTCGCTATGCGATCGTTATACATACTGTACTGTGATTTAAATAAGGTAACTACTAAGTTTCATCCCTTGTGTTGTGTTTCTATTCTAGATACAGTTTTGCTGATATTTATAACCAGGTCTGATTATAAATTCTTTAAAGCAGCCCTGTAAAAATTAAATAGCATCATCTCTGGCTTTTATTTTATACTGTCAACATTACATGTTATTATCAATGATTATACTAATTGATAGTAATTTGTAATTATCACAGGGCTGATGTAAAAATTTGTTTACCCATGAACTCTATTAGGTTATCAACTTTCCATCTTCACTGAGGTAGTTTCACAGCCTGTTCTGTTTGAGTTCTAGTAACTGTATTTACCCTTGAATTTACAGTTTTATGCAAAGCCAAGATGGCTTACAAGTTGTTGTTGTTGTTTTAAGAATTAAAACACAGTGGTTGAACTCCTATTGCATAGTGTAGTATGTTGCAACAAGAGTAGGGCCACTGAATCAGTGGAACATGTCAAGGAATTGACTCACCAAATTCCTGTTGATTCAATGGTCTACTTTAATTGTGGCTTACTAGACTAATCAACAGAATTTCAGAATGTTTTACAAAGTAAACATAATTAAACAATCTATTAAAGTAGAATTAAACTAATTATACTATTGAAACACAATTAACATTAAAACACTTTGAAATTTCTTAACTAAAGGCTAAAAATAGTTCACCTTAAAGAAGGGGGGGGGGAACCAGCACATTAGCTAAAACCCCCTGGTTAGAAGTAGAGATGGGGGTATTCATATTCGTATATGAATGTTCCTCCCACAGGTGCAGATAACGAGGGGGGCTATTAGCTACTCTTTGACCTGGCAGAGAGGCTCGTCATCCCTCCTTCTGCCAGGAGTGGCTAATCTACTGTGAGCTCCAGAGCAATAGGAAGGGAGTACAGAGCCTGCAGCAGCAGCGGAATGGTGAGTGGTCAGTCTGGCCCTAGGGGGCTTGACCCTTATTATCTGCACCTGCGGGGGGATATTTGTATACGAATACCCCCATCTCTACTTAGAAGCCTATTCACTACAGAAAGCCTGCCAGTGGAAAGATAGTAGAGAGAAGGCAAGTCCTCACCAAACAGGGCTCAGAAGATGGTGACACCATGACAGGAGCTTCTCCAGCAGATCTCAATGCCTGGGTACTCTGGGTCCTAAAACCAAATTGTATAAGGTCATAACCAAGACTTTGGATTTTACATGGAAGCAGATAGGAAGCCAAATAAACTGTTGCAGGAAAGGAGTTATGCATTCCCTCTAACTGGCTCTGATGAGTAATCTGGTTGCATTGTTTTGGAACAGCTGAACTTTCCAAACGTTCTTCAAAAACAGGCCGCTATATCACACATTACAGCAATCCAATCAAGATATACTGCATGCATCTCCACATCCTGGAATGGGTACAACTTGTATTCTACCTGTAACTGTGCAAATGCATTCTTAGCCAATGCTAAGCCATGACATTCAAGGCTCAGACAGGAATCCAGGAGTACATCCAAACTCAAGCTTTTAGGGGGAGTGTTTTCAAGCACAGGTGGAATTTCTATTCCCTCATCTGTGTTTCCACTGATTAGGAGCAGCTCTGTCCTGTTTGGATTAAGGTTCAACAGGTTCAGACACTGGTTTAGTACTTGTACTGCTTTGTCAAATTGAAATAGAAAGGAAAAACAGAGTTGGGCATTATTAGCATATTGATGGTACCAAAATCCAAAACCCCAGACGTCCTCCCAACTGTTTCATGTGCACTATATGTTAAGTAGAGAAGAAAAGACAGAGTTCCAAGGGACACCTGGCCAGGGTGTTGTAATACCACCTTCTGAAGTTGGCCCTTCAGAAGTTGGCCCTTCAGAAGGGACTGGAGCTACAGTAAGACAATGCCACCAAATCCCATCCCATAGAGGCAACACAGAAGATTGTTGTACTTGATGAAGTTGAAAAGTCAGTGGAAGGTCCAGTTGAACTAATAGCGACACACTCCCCTACCAGTTGTCCACCAAGGACAACTGGGTAGGGGAGTGTGTCCCTATTAGCTGCTACTGAACCATACCAGACCCAGGCATGATTGAGCTGGAGTTATCAAGCATAGTGAGGTTTAGTCATCAAGCATAGTGAGGTTTAGGAAAGTGTTGGGTAGATCCCAGTAGGTCTGGGTTTGTGACAGTGAGGTTTAGGAAAGTGTTGGTTTTTTTTTAACAATGGCCTTAGAACTGTCTCTTTTAGGCAAACTAGGGCCCTGCCTTGCTGGAAAGGTGCATTCACAATGTACAAACTTGGCCAGACCTCCCATGGTCACTTGTTTGAGCCAGGGTCAGCATATATTGTACGGACTTCACCTCTCCAAGGATTTCCCATAGAATAATAGAATAATTGAACTGGAAGGAGCCAATAAGGCTATCGAATCATAGAATAATTGAACTGGAAGGGGCCAATAAGGCTATCGAGTCCAACTCCCGGCTCAGTGCAGGAATCCAAATGTACAGTTTTGTTATTTTATACATTTATTAGACTTTTTAACCCAGCTTCTTCCCCACTAAAATAAGTCACAGACTGTCTAATAAGAAAATAAAACAAATAAAGGGGAAAAACGACAACATCAGAAAACAGTGCAATTAAAAACTGGGCAAATTGATCACTATTGAAAGGAGAAAAAAAATCACCCAAATAAAAAGTTTACCTAATTCCCGAAGTCCTATATGAATAAAAAGGTCTTTACATTCCAACAAGATTCAGTAGGTACATACACAGGATCCGCTGTGTTCCCACATAACTCTATTTCTCCTGTGTGTCTGAATCCATGAAAACTGTTTTAATTCTGAACCAGAATTTGGCAGCAGTAAAGGACTGAAAAATGGCCAGCAAATTGAAGAACAATCCAGACAAAATAAGAGATCTTGGTCAGCCAAAAGACAGATCATAGAGACATGTGTTTGATGGGGCTATACTTCCACTGAAGACTCATAACTGCTGTATCTGGATCAGACAACTGAATCAGCCTGGATATCCAAGTTTCTACAAGGGCTGGAAGGGTTGTTGCACAACTGAAGGTAATGTGTCAGGAGAATGTGTTTCTGGAAATGGCTTAGTTTACAGTGAGGCACACCTTAAATTACATCCCATTTGGATTACTGCAACACACTCTTTGTGGGGCTGCCTGTGAAAAGTGCTTAGAATATTCAGCCAACCCAACAAACTGGGGAGACTGCTACCTGAGGCTAGTTACAGTACAGTGGTGCCTTGCAAGATGAATTTAATTCATTCGCGATTAATGTTGTCTTGTGAAAAATTCATCTTGCGAAACACATTTTCCCATAGGAATGCATTGAAATCTAATTAATGCATTCCTATGGGCAAAAAAAGTCAGAACAAAGTCAAATTTTGTTTACAAAGGGTTTATTAAGTGCTCTTTAAAGCCATACATATTGTGCAAATGATTTTAAAAATTTCAATTAATTTTTAGGGTTTAGTTTAATAGAGGGCTTAGTTAGGTTTTCTTTTTCTTTATATTTGATTTGTTGCTATGTGTTTGTGTCTATTGATGTCTTCTGTATGTTTGAACTTTAAATAAAAAAAATTAAAAAAATGAATATATAAAAAAAATAAATTTTGGTTTAGAAAGGGTTTATTAAATCTTTAAAGCCATACATATTGTGCAAATGATTTTAAAAATTTCAATTAATTTTTTTTTACTTTTTAAACATCATAGAAAAACATTTAAAAATTAGCAAACATGAGGCAGGAACAAAAAACGGAAAACATTTGTCTTGCAAAGCACAGCCATATGAACATTTGTCTTGCGAGTCATCAACCCCATTGCCAAAACCGTTTATCTTGTGAGTTTTTTGTCCTGCGAGGCATTTGTCTTGTGAGGCACCACTGTAAGCGTTTTTTCTCCTTTGTTGCAACATATTCACTGGATAGCTATCTGTTTCTGGGTACAGTCCAAAGTGTTGATTATGAATTATAAAGCTCTGTATGGTTTGGGTCCAGCCATCTGAAGGTCAGTATTTTCTATGCAGGTTTGCCCAGACTTTGAGTTATTTGGAGGAGGCCTTCTCTCAGTCCTGTCACCTTCATAGCGCCACCATCTTTGTAACTGTGGCGATCTCCTCAGAAGCCCCTATTCCCCCTGGTCTTCATGAGGTTCTCGTTCCTCTTCTTTCTTCGCTGCCACCTGGTATGGCTGCCTTAATATCATTTAATCAAGGAGACATGTGTGCTTTTAAAACTTAAGTCATTTATTAGATCAGGGAAGTTAATATATGATTAATATTCAATAGTTAAATCACAGGTTGCTAATCACTTGTATTTGAATCAATTCTACTTTAACTTTAAAACTCTATTAACTCTCTGTTCCATTCAGCGTTCTTACAGATCTCTAACTCTCTCTTAGTTCACTTTTAGGTTTTACACAGTCTCTCTACCAGAATCTCTCTCAGACTCCATACACCAGCCTTTATATCCAGCTCCCTCCCCCCTTGGCTCCACCTTCCATCCACTCATTGGCTCTTTCTTCACTGTTTATTGTGACGGACAGGTGAGGGCAGGCTGTTCGCTACAGTAACAACACAAGAGACCCTTGTTGGTTGCTGTTCTGGCTGTGGAACTAACTGCCAAAGAAGGTTAGGCAAGAGATCACCACAACATGGAAAATAAGGCGAACAGGGGGAGGTGTGGCCCTTTTTCAACTGTCTTAGCCTGTGAAATTCCACTTTGGACAGGGAGGCTTTAAGTTCTCCCTTGCTGTTCTCAAGGAAGAAGATGACATCCACCGGCACTCTCTTCTGTCTCTGGCGGTGTGTTGCTGCCCAACGAGCCAAAGAAATAGTTAGCCACTTGCTCTGCCCAGACGCTGAACACAATCTGATAGGCCTTTGGGGAGGAAAAGGAAAAAAAAACATCCCAAGCTGAAAGACTAATCAAGCTATTAATTCTTCAGAAGGGAGGTAGGAAGGCAAAGCTTAATTCAAAGTCATGTTTTCTGACCTGGAAGTTGTGCCTTTTCACCTCAGATATACTGTATGGAGAGAGATAATATAGTTACATTTCACTGAAATTTGTGACTTTACAAATTACAAGACATTGTATTTCCATCCAGAAACCTAAACGATAGCACCATCTCTGGTATCATCACCATGTACCTTTCTCCATGGGTGAGACTATCCACATGCTATATTAGCCAGTATGTCTTAGATCCAATAACTGTAATTTCTTTGAGCAATAAATGCCCATAATAGTTCATTAACTGAAGATTTATGTCCAAAGCTAAGATATTTCTCTCTCTCTGACATGGGTTTTAGCTTAATTATCTCATTACTTTTTGTAGTCCAGCACAGAAGCTATTGACCTCTACAATAAATCCAGTCCAATACCAAGGTTTTAAATCTGTGAGGCAGACCTATGATAGTACCTGGGGAGGAAAAGGATCAGTGTTATTTTATCAGAGCGGAGGATTTAAAAACAAATCTTGCAACTTTGCATGTAGGAAATGAAGATGAGTTTGGAATCACATTTTATTTGTGTTTTAACTTACTTTTTTTTAAAAAAATGTATGTTTTATTTTGATTTTAACAGGTTTAAATGCCTTGCATGCCATTCTTGGGGGAAAGAGGAAACATCAATCAATCAAAATCAATCAATCAGTCAATCAATCAATCAATCAATCGCCACAATAATAATAACGTACCATCATGTCAATTCTGACCTATGGAGACCCTTTTTAAGGTCTTCTAGGCAGAGAATACCTGCAAGTGGTTTACCATCTCCTTCTTCTGGTGGGCACCCTGAGACTCTGAAGCTTGCCCACAACTACACAGGCTGGCTCTTCTCCCTGGAAGGAACAGTGAGGAATCAAATTCCCAACCTCTGGCTACACACTCAGGTACCTAAACCACTGAGTTATCCAGCCAGCTATAATAAGAGCCATACCTAAGATAACTTTTGAAGGTGGATAAAATGCAATGCAGTAATAATGCTTGTCTGGACACAATGTGTGTGTAAAAGAGGTGCTCAAATGTCTTCCTGTCTTATGACACACTTTCCTGCAAAATTTTCTTATATGCACCAGATAATTTTCTCCGTGAGCCTGCAAACCCATTTGCCCTCATAGTACTGTATGTTTGAATCAGCAATACAAGTTGCTAGTGTGAAACTAGG